GTAGAATGACTACTAGTAAAATTATCCATGCTTATTTTTAGAATTACTATCAGTATTATTTGAAGATAGCTTAAAAATAAATATTATCCAAAAGTTTAAATTTGTATCATATGCAATACATTTAATCCTTTTTTAAAAACACGTTTGAATCAACTATTTAAAAAATTAAAAATTTCTTATGACCTCTTCTAAACTTTTAATTGTCGAAAAAATTGAAAATGTTGAAAAACATGTTTAAATGTTATTTGTATATAAAATTATTCGTAATAAAAGAATCGTATCTTTTTGCCTTAAATCATTATTCCAAAAATAAAAATATCTATAAATAAGCATTACAAATCAGTTTTATCAATAAAGTAAAACAAATAATATTGAATTATTGATCAATTTTTTTTTTTTATTAATGACCAAGGGATTTTTTTTTATTGAAATAAATTTAAAATTTTCACATGTACAATCTATTTTAAGATTCAAACATGTCTGTATGTAGTTGTAAAGACACAAATCATATCTATGGATAATTTTTAGGTCTTAGACATAGATATATATTAAGTACAAAGGTCCATAAACTATCTTAAATATAATTAAGAAATACAACAAATAGCATGAGTTTTACAGCATATGTTTACTTTCAGAATTCTCAATACAAACTATTTACTTAGAATTTGATTCTTAGATGGAGCAATGATTTGAAAGACAAAGACTCATGATTTTTATAGACAATTACAATTCTGTTTGAAAATTCAAATCTTATCGAATTATTACTAATACATTTTTATTATAATAAGTACTATCATACAAACATCTTGGAAGTAATATAAATTTTTTTGGGTATTATTAAAAACAGTTATATAAAAAATTCCAATTTAATAATATTTAAAAACTATTAAAGTTTCATTTAAAAAATTAAAAATCAGTTTCTTTAATTCAAAAAAGTTCACTTAAGAAAATACTTTAAATAAACAGAATGATATTATATTATTAAAACATATTAATTGACATCAAATAATTGAACACTTAATTTTAAGTTGAATTTTATGACTATTTAATAACTAGAGATCAATAGAAATTAAAATTAATAAAATTAATTCAATAGATTTTTAACTTATTAAAAAAATTAAAAATAAATAAATCATTTAATTCTCCTTTAAATTTTGTATTAGATGAAGTAATGATATCACAAACATATATCAAAATCACCCCTCTTAGTATCTTCTAAAATCTTTTACAATTATAAAAATACTGAAGTTAATTTTTGTATACTTCTACATGCTTCCAATCTTAGAATTTCACTTAAAATTTTAAATTCTACAATTTTTTATGAATCTATAATAGTCCTTTAAAAGTTCCTACATTATCTAATTACTATTATATGAATAAAATAAAAGATAAGATACACTTTAGTGTTTCTAATATTGCTCTAGAAGCAATTCAATTAGTGTCTTATTTATATTTTAATTTATTTTTTGATTTTCCAATATAGATGATGATTCTAACAATATATCATTAATAAAAATAAATAAAATTATACATTATTTATAAAAAAACCAAGTAATAATTATATTAAAATTTAAAAAATGAAAAGATTCCAAACACTTGAAATTTGAATGAGATATTCAAAATTTTATATTTATATTTATATTTATTATGAAATAAGCTAAAAGTGAATTGCATATTAAAACTTAACATTACAAAGACATGAAATAATGTTGTGATTATATGTTATTAATAAAAATAAATTTTGATTTTAATAATAATTAAGCTTATCAATAAAACTTCTATAAACTAATAAACAAACCATGAAAAAATATAAATGCTTTTAGATGTGTGTAAATTTTTCAATTATTGATGTTTATGTATTAGATAAATATTTTAATTTAATCAATAATCATGGATACATATAAATATTCTAAAATTACAAAATATAAAATATTCATCTATAGATTAATCAATAAAAGATAATTTTTTTTTTATCTATAGATTCATCTATAGATTCATCACTAAAAATGTGATTAAACACATTCACAATTAAATTTTTATTAAGCTAAGAAATAAAACCACCAAACTTTCTAAACATTGTGAATAAGATATTTCAAACGCCAATTGCATGAAACTTAGATTGTGTTTGATTGTGCTAGAAGAGTATTGCTTGTACTCCCTTGTAAAGAAGATGCTATAAAAGAAGAACCATAACTTTCTTTAGAACCTTTAAAATGGAAATATTAACATCGGGATGAGTCCTCCACACATAAATATAAATATATGTATGTGTGTATATATATCAAATAGACAATAACACAAGTCATAATTTTTTATATATATAATAAAATCTACCGAAAGAAATTAAATTCAATTCTATTGGGTATATTTTGTAATAAAAAAAAATTTCATAAAAAAATTATAATTGGATGCAAAAATATTATATAGATTTTGTTTGTATTTTTCTTATACCCATTTGGAAATGATGGTTGTGCTTTTGCAAAAAATTGCTAATTGAAAAAACACCAATTACAATGTGGATATTATAGGCTTTGCAATTTTGTCAACCTAAAGTGGAGTTGGAGGGGTTATATCTATGAAATTATAATTTTAGAATTAAAAATTATATCTAACTTTTAATATTGTTGAAGATCACTACATTGCTTAATCTTTCATATGTTTCATGCAAAGATGTACGATGCAAAGTTGGTATAACATGTCTGGTTCAAATTTTGTATACAAGTACCCAGATATATCATCAGTTAACAGTTAAGAATAGCATCATATGCTTCAATTTTTTGAACTTCTAACAAGGAAGTAAAAGGAATTTTATGTCAACCAGGAGAAAATTCCATAATTCTAGCAATAAATAAATCGGAATGTATTATTTTAAGCAGGCTAGTAGTTGCAAACACTACTATTACACTAAAGAAAGGTTCACTAAATGTTTTACCATACAAGTGTATACTTTTTATTATATAATCTTTTGCATGGCACCGACAAACAATATCAATGTTATTCTCTAGTTGGTCTGTAATACAGCTCAACAATCTCTTCATTGTTGGTCAACTAACTTTAATTCGACAAGTATATAATATAATGTTTTTCTCTGCTCCTTAATGTTAAAGTAAATGAATTCCAAATTATAACAACTTGATTAATTTATAATATATGTACATATGTATATTAAGAGAAAAAATTATGCCTTTTAACATGTGCATTAATGTTCACTTCAGTTGATTTGTCTTTTCCAAGTTTCTTTCAATTGTAATAATCATTTTAATAATGTTTTAAGTCTTAATAATACAACAGCTTTGTGTTGAAAAGCTTGACAAAATTTAAAGTAAAAACTACAAGATTCTATAAAATTAGTAATATTGCTCTTCTTTTAAAATAATCTTCCAAAAAAATGGTATTTTTTGCAAGTTATTCGACTCTTTTAAATTCTGGCAGAAGGACAGATTTGGGCTTCAATGATTTTATGAAATGTATAATATTAAACATATTAAAATGACATATTATTGAATTATTAAAATCTCAAAATTTTACGAAAATGTATTTATTATAAAATTCATATAGAAACACCATGAAAATTAACAGCTAAGATATATATTGATATTTTTTTTTAAAATAAAGCTTTGTCTCTAAATAAATATTGGATTACTAAAGAAATAAACAAATATATACATATACATTACTAGAACACTTTAAATAATAAATCAAACATTGTTAATTTTTAAACATATAGAGTATGTATTGTAAATTTGATCTTAATAACATGATCCCATTTTTAATCCCTTTTTTAGTTTCATTTTTATATTAATATTTTTTTACCTCAAATTATGATTTATTATTGAAAGTGCTAATATTTTTGTACAGTGATCAGTTTTGCTATCTTTCTAGTAAATCGCTCTTAACAAGACAAGCTATAATCCTTATGATTTTTTTATTAAAATGTTTTTTGTAATGCCTATATATATATATAAATTATCAGAATTTAATTGATCAATTATCTGCAACTAAATTATCAACAACTTATCCATTTGTTTACAGTCCATTATTGCTTAACTATAGTTTTTCACCGCAATCTATTTCTTAAACCATTTGATTATTTTTACATATATTATAAAAAAAATAAACGAATATACACATACTCATTTTGTCATATGATATTTAAATTCAGCTTCTGTTGCTCTCGCATGCATATGATTTTGTGTTTTTTGGAATATTGGTAAATTACTAAACATCAAGAATTGGACATTTTGTTGCATTATTAGATACCTACCTGAATGATTTTTAATTCACCATTTGTACACAGCAGAGGAATCATATATTGGTCCATAAACCTTATTTGGGTTTATCATTTATCCTTTTTAATTATTAACGTGGTATGATTTCCACACTTCATTATTAATCTATGTCATTGTGAAAAATATCAAAGTATTGTCACACAAACTCAGCAGATAATTTTTTTTGATTCATAAAGAAAAATAAAAATCAAAATCAAAACAAAATAAAAACCACCTAAACTATGATAAACCTCTCGCATCAGAGGGCCAGACCCTATTTGAGTGTAGAAAACCAGTTTAAATTTATCATCCTCGCAACGACCAACATTCATCCTTTTTCACTTTTCATCTAACGAATCTGATCAAACGTGTGAGCAGCTCTGTCAACGTGGTTTTTATCGACTTATCTTCATTGTACCTTCGAACAACTTTTAAAGTCCCCATCATGGTCCCAGTTGTCATTTTCATTAATTCAGTTTGAAATTTACTCAAAGCCGGAAAGTTGTGTACAAGATTCCAGAAGCTTCAGTTAGTTTCTATCTCAAAAAATTGTTTTTCCTCTTGAAGTTCAGGGTTTGGATGCGATCTTTTGTCAGGCTTTGGCGCGGCATAGGGCGTTGCAGTTACGTCAGAGTTATGGAGATTGTGTCAGAGAGAGTGTCGTGCATATCTTCGATGCCATCGCCAAGCTGCAGCGCCGGTCGTCAGGCAGATGGTAGAGCTTTGGTATGCCAATTCCGCACCGAAATTTACTATTACGCTGCACTTGGAACACTATACAAATGGTTGACACAGGACTTCCTGTACGATATTTGTTGCAACAACTAGTCACGTTGTGTTTCTTCGGTGCAGTCGCGATATTTCTGGAATCGCTACACAAGCAGTTTTCTTAGCATGTGGTGATTTTCCAAATTGCAAAATGCAATTGAAACTTACGTTGTGATATTCGAATCTGATGCCGAACCGGCGACCGAGGTCGTTTAAGCTTTTAGGAAAGCATTCCCTGCCGCCGCGATAGAAGCTGACGTAATAAGACTTGGCATCTCCCCCACATCCTGACATCTGGGTGCACCGGACAAAATAGTTTTGGCATCTTGGCATGTTGTGAAGAGGACAGCAACACCTCGGAGCGTATGACGTCTCCGAGATGGAGCTCTTCTGGGATGAGCACGTCTTTGTATACATTCCTTAGAAATGATATCAAGGATTCTTCTTGATAGGTTTGAATGTTGAGAGGGTTCCCGAACTTCGATTTGGTGGACATGCGCAACCTTGCCGATATATGCCGTTGTGAGGTGCTTCCAAGCTTACTAATGCTTCCTATTAGCTTGTGGTGCAGGGCGAATAGTGGCGGTGAGATGGTTCTGATTCAACTCGCAACTGCGATTTAGTGAGAATTGGTTACGAGGAGGGCGGAGTTTGGGGCAGAACCTTGGCGAGTTTTAAACCCTGACAAAACTCAGCGATTTTGTTCGTCGGAACCTCCAAAGCTCTTCGTAACCTCGTCAGAAAGACTCTGGAGTTCGTGCGACACGATTTTCAAGCGAACTCGCTTCGCAACCACTTAAAAATGGATCCCGTATGTGTCTTTCCTGCAGATCACTGGGATATGGCAATCATTGGAGAAGAGCATTTTTCTGCCTTGCCAACTCCCTTCCCCGCTCTTCTTAGTGCAAGTAAAAACTATCCGTAAAGTTTGTGCGAATTGCGGACTTGCGATTGATTTGGGAATTCGAACTGTAGTAAGGCTGTACCGCATAACTGCGTGGCAGTCCTCGAGGGGCTTGGTCAAAGAAACTTAATAATATACAGACTTCGTTAAGGAAAAGCAATAAAATCTAGAATAAAAGCAGTTGCTTCAGTTTTAGTGTGTTCCTTCGAAGTCCTCGAAGGTTACTTTCAGATGCGAAATTAGGATGCTGCACTCATTTCTTCACTTCGTGGGATGCGAGACGGTTCTTAATTCTTGTATGACCCGCCGACCCCTGTACGATTCTTCCTCAAAATCCATGCCTTGCTTGCTTCCCGTCCAACCCTCACCTACCTTACGTCTGTAAGGTCGGAGTCCTGCCAACTATGACTCGTTCATTTTTCTTGTCGTAGTATACTGGTGTTGAGTTCAGGTTGTGGATAGCGATGATTAAATGTGATGTCTACGGTCTTTTCAAGTAATGTATGAGCGACTTGAGTATGTTGGCCCACTTTGGCGATTTATGACCTCGCCGTTCTACGGTACACATTAACAGACTAGTTTGATTTTCAAGTGACGTGTAGTTCATGGTTTTGATTTTAAGGCCGGAGTTCTTCTGGGTTCACCTAGCACCTCTTGGAGTAAGGTGCAGGCTTTGGGATTTACCTGTCAGAGCGACTCTGACTGAGAAACACAGTTTGATGTTCCCGAAAATGGTAATGCAAAAAATACCGACAGTGGTCTTTAACACTGGCGGGAGTCGTAAGGTCTCCAATTTGTACTGTTTACATGAAGTATGCTGACAAGTTTCCATGGATTTTTGTAGGAACTTCCTCAATATATAGTTGATGAAATTGTAAATTGCGTCGAGGATGCGAGGGATATTGCAAAACTTTCGGTAACTTGCAAAGCATTCCAGGAAGCTAGTCACAATGTCAGGTCAATGCATTTAAAAGTGTTGAATGAGGATCATGAACGGGCCCGAATTCCTGTAGATATGTCCTCACCGAATTCTGGTTCGCAACGTCGAAATCTGAAGGATACTGTGGTGAACATTGTATCAAAGAAGCGTCACGTAGAGCGGCTGCGCATTGAAGTTGAGCCGAGGCTACAGTCGAAAGAAGTTCCTGAAAATGAAAGACGGAGAACAGATTTTTGGATGAGCGATCCGTATTTTGTAAGGGAATGGTTACCTCGTCTAGGGGCTACGCTTCAGCATTTATGCATAGTGGACTATGGGAAGCAGGCCATAATGCGCAGATCTAGCGTCCTTAAGATTATATCACATAACTGTAAGTATCTTCATCACTCATCTTCTGTTGTTTAGGTCCATGGGCTATTTTGGACTTCACTTGATACATTTCCTTGCCATTCTGAGAGTTGGGAGGACTGAAACGCAATGGTGATACAATTCGTGTGCAGGCAAATTGGTGAAGACGCTGGATCTAAGGAATATGTATATTGATACAAGTGACTGTGAAGTAATGAGCTCCATGTTGAGCATGACGTTACGTTGTGTTAAAGTGATGGGTGGAATTTTAGATGATATGAACAAATTTATGCCGAATCTACAGACGTTGGCGCTGCTTGGGGTATTTGGTGTGGAGAAAGGGAATCTGAAGTTTAAAAATATGAAAGTGCTTTGCCTCGGTCTCTCAACTCCAGCAAAGAACGTCTTAATGGATCTTCCTAGTCTTGAGAAGCTGCAATTAAAGATGCAATGTCCAAAGGATCTCAGAATTGTGGCACCTCAACTGAAATACTTTGCTTTCAATATGGAGGTGCCGGAGGAGTCAAAAGTGCAGGTATGCTGCGGGGACACGACTAAAGTACACGCGACAAAGGACTTGCCTGGAGGTTTACTTGAACTGTTATATGGAGCCTCGAGTTTCGAAACACTTGCACTTCTTTTAGAGAGAAACATGAGGAATCTCAGGAAATTATATTTGGACATCCCTTGTATGGCGTTGAAAGAAGATGGAACATTTTCCACAGTGTTGAAAGATGTGCCCCTAAACCTACCATGTTTTGAGAAACTACATAATTGTGAACTTCTACAGTTTTTCAACATTGGACCTGGACTATGGCATAGTATGGAAATACATGTGGAGCAACTCACATCAAGAAGTCGTTGGCCAAGAATGCACACCTTGATTCTTCACATGATTCCACACAATCCGGAATCTTCTCTTCGTGTGTTGCAAATGATATTGGGACCTTCAGTTGAGAATTTGACAATTTATATACACAAATCTGGTCCTGTAGATTGCAAGCTAATGAAGCAAAGAATAGAAGAAATTGATATGCAAAAAATAAAATGTACTTTGAGAGAATGGACAACTAGCCTTGATTTTACATGTTTTAGCTTCTAAGATTCAAATAGTGTTGAGGGTGATTGGCATTTTTATGATTGAATTTGGCCTATTGGATGAGAAGTTTTATCTACTTAAAAAAAGAAAAATCAAATCAAGGCTATGTATATGCAGAATTTAAATATTCTCAACCAACAAGTGTGAAAACAATGGTTTTATACACACTTGACTTAAATATAACAAACAATGGTTGTGTTAAGTGACATCTTTGTTCTTTTAAAAAGTCCTAAGTATATATATACTAAAAAAACTTGGTGTTGTTGGACACAAAAAATATTTTAATACAAAATAAGACAACATATGTGAAAGGATAACATACAATTTTACAACATCAACCACTAATTATACATTCTCTTGTTTTTGAAGTTGATCATAACTCTTGTAATGGTTTTAATAGTTTTATATTTTAAAAATTAATATATATATATATATATATAGAGAGAGAGAGAGAGAGAGAGGAAATTTAAATATTAACAAAAAAATTGTATATGATTTTAAAATTATAATGAGTTATTCATCTAGTATTATAATCACTACAATATATAATTTATGCATAATGAATACATTTAAAATATTTATAACTTTAAAATATATAAATATATTAAACCTAAATTATATAATTAAAATAAATTTTAGTTTTAAATATTATAATTTTTAATCTTTTTTACAAATTATAGAATGACTATATATATAAAAACTTTAGTAGGTTTAGTAAAGATGATACACAAATAGGAGTAACCTGGAGAATTGAAATTTGCATTTTTTTCAAGCATATTAGATTTAAAAAAAAGTATTAATCTGGTAAATTTAATTTTTTATGGCAAATTATATATGTGTGAATTTCAGTGGTAGTTCTATTCAAAGTTATTGTTCCAAAATTTATTTCAAAACTTCAAATCTTCAATATGTCCACACATGATAGAAGCCATACATTTGTTATGTGAAACTAATAAGTTCCAAGGGAAATTCCAATATAATCAACATTTGTTTTTAATGCATAGAATATGTAACTTAAAATCAAGATACACACATACATAACCATATATATATATATATATCTATAACAGTGGTTATTCAGTTACTTAAATTAATCCAACTTCCCTACTCAAATATATATTTGAAATTCTTCTACCTCTGTGGGTGTGGAATTCTAAGCTTCAACAATAGGTCTACTAAACATCAATGATAATACATAACACATATGGAGATACGAATGCATTATTTTGAAAGCTCCAGTGTTTGCCAAATTATGTTACCCCTTTAGGCCTCACAAATACTCTTACAATTTTTTCATGATACAAATGACAGTATGTTTTGAAAATAAATAACCAAAAAGAGGTTAAATATATTTTGATAGCCACGACCGACAATGAAACGCTTACAATACACATCCACCATTTTCCTGTGATAGTTTCTGCATCAACCTAGTCTCTTCGGAGACTCACAATAAGATGCAGAATCACCAAAGGCAAAGGCAGAAGAGAATGCACATGTTCAGTATGATTCATGCTGCAGACCAATGCTCGGAGTGTCGGCCGAGGCAAGCAACCAATCACCAACTTGCTCAAGGATGGTGGTTTTCATGGCTCCAAGGCGTCTTTAGCTTTGCTGCCTAAGTGAGGTGGAGGAGGAGACTCAGGAATCCTTCCCTTGGATCTCCGGAGCCATGCCACCCAAGCGGCAGTCTCTAGAAGTGCCGCAATAACAGCCAGGGCCACAAGCACACCGATGTACGCATCCTTCCACTTGCTCTCGGGTTGCAGCAGATCCAGGCCTTCGAAGATGTTGACAATAGAGAGGATGATGGTGGCGTATCCCACGGTGTGGTGGTACATGTTCCAGTAACGTCGATGCTTGGAGCCCCTCTTGGGCCTCAACACCATTGCCAGTACCTGCAACCGAAACAATGAATCAGTCACCGATGGTCTACCGGAGAGAGTAACAGTGTAGCAGCAACTGCAAGGAGCGTGGGTTACCTGAAGAGTGGCGAAAACGAAGATGGAGATGCCTACGTTCCTGTGGAAGTATTTGATCGGAGAGGCGTACTTCTGGAGCTGTAGCCCCAACCCCCATCCCACAACGCCGAGAGTGTATCCCGTAAGCTGACATGTGATGTGGAGGTAGAACCAAAGAGGATCAGCCCAGGGGAAGGGTCGCAGGTACCGAGCGGCCATCACGCCGATGGGAACCAATATCCCCCACGCCACAGCGCTGATCACACCATGAGCCTGCAGAGGAACAGAGGGCCATCACAAGCTTATATCACAGTGTTTGAGGAGATTTTCCAAGCCGGTGACAGATTTGCAAGCAGGTTTTGCTTCAAAGGGGCCCAACGGGAAAAAAGTTGTGCGTTTACATTTTCGAGCTTCTGGTGGGGTGGGCCGACAACAGAGGCGATTCCGGTCGCCAGGTCCACCGTGCCAACACTAGCGAGGTTTGCAGGAGCAAGTGGGTGCTCAGCGAGCTCGAATGTAATAGGGTTCACAGACCGGCCCCGGTTCCACACATGGTCGACGGTGGCTGCTTTTCCAGCGCCCAGAGGAAATGTTCCGAAAATGGTCACGGTGGTTTTCACCATGACTGCCGAGAGATTAGAGTACTTGACACTCACTAGAGTGGGAAGTAGAGGTGCACCATCTTTCACCGCATTTGTGACGTCGTATTCCATAACTATCAGGCTGGTGCCATTCTTGAACGCAATAAGGGCTTGCGTTCCCTCCATGTTGGGTCCCTTCGTGGGGTTGATGCCCCAACCAATCCATCCCCCGGTGACTTGCATGTCCTCTGCGGGTCAAATGAAGAGGTCCAGGTTAAGAACCAATAAAATAAATAAACAAGGACAGACGAGTTCCGCAATCCCTAGAGAGAATTACATCTCCTGGCACAGTTTCAGAAGAGCAATCTGAAGAAACGATTGAATGAGATTAAGAGGTCGAAGGGTAGCAGAGTTAGTACCTGAAAAGGCAAAATCGACGGAATTGGTGTCATTGTTCAAACTCCAAGCGTAAGTAGCTCCGAGAGCTGCAAGATCCTGACATTGTTCAAAAGTCCTAGTGCCAACGGTTTTATTGCAAACGGCATGCACGGGCGATGCTCCGTGGACGAAGCTCAAGAGTGCTGTCACGAGCATGCACCTCCACGCAGAAGCCATGGTTGCGCCCGTTCTAAACAACCTTGCAGCTCGCTGTCGGTCGTAAAAAGATAGCTTCTACTGCAAACTCTACTCTATTGAATTTTCCCTAACTCTGAAACGGACCTTTCGAAAAGGTTAGTAATTCACAGCCTAGATATTTCAAAATTTTCAAGCAAGTCCCTGCCGCAAGCACACACTCTCAACGCGTTAGATCTCGGAAGCAATCCAACCTCTTCAGCGGTGGCATTTGACACTTCGTAAACCAGACCATTATAACGTGTACATTACAAACAATCCCTTACGTGTGTCGAAATGCGTCGCAACGCCGCATTCGTAACTCATCTTCCGCCGCTTCCTCGCACAGACCATCGCCAGTACCACTGTTGAAAGCACTATTCGGTGCTCTACTTAAGAACAACTACCACCCCAATGTCGCTCGCACGATTGATTTCGCAACCGACTCCGCCCCTATCAGAAGACGCAACTAGTAAGTTCAGGCATTCCTCAATAACTGCCCAGCTTCTTCGCGACCTCTCCCAGGTGCAACCCAAATCCTCAAAATCCCCAAGCACTTCTCCGGCACCTTCTGCTTCTCCTTTATTACAGTCCCCCAATCTTTAGCTAATCAGCTTTTGGTCCAAATCCCAAATCTGACTCACCACGTGTATTTGAGTAAACTTTTCGAGTGCAGTACCCAGCTCACTGGGCTGATACCTAGTCCTTGTGGACTGGAGCTTGGGAAGTGGCAGCTTCCTGAGAGAAACCATGGGCTCGCTTGCTATGAGATTGGAGAGGCTAGTGATAGATTAAACGATGGAGGAGCTGTCCACGCCGCACCGATGCTTGCGGAGCCAAGATCGTCCAGTCAAGAGGAGAGAGCTGTGAAGCGGGTGGTGATGCGTTGTCGACGTCTTCTCCGCATTACTGAGCTCACCCTACTCATCGTGCAGGCCAGGTTGTTGCTCTTCTACAATGTCAACTCCGGCGTGTTTCCCGATGTGCGGGTGGTCCGATGCTGATCATTTCGTTAGCTGTGGCGATGGGTCATGCGGAGGAGGTCATCAGGAGTAGGGCAGCATTGACTTGCAGAATCTAAAACCCTATCTGCATGTCGAACCTCATTCCTCCTTTGTCTTTCCACAAGTTTTGGTAGAAATTCGAAGAAAATCTAGCTCTCATTAAATTGTCTACCTTATTCAAATCATTCATTTATAACGATTCTTACATTAAAATAACACCTATTAGAATTATTCTATTATTGTTTGCTTTTAAGACACTCGTGAAGAATAGATGGTATTGAATAGATCAAGAAGATTCTGTGCAACACACCATTCTTTGGTGTTATGCCCTTTTCTTTTCTGCTCTTCTTTTTATTTTCATCGTTCAAACTCCGTCTATTACGATTTGGCTTTTTTAACATCCGTGGGTGTAGAAGAAATGACATTTATATTATTTGTTTATTTTTTACATTTAGAAGCAGATGGCCTTAGATCAATAGATTACAGAGAACATGAACTATTTCCACTGACCCGATGATGTATTATTGACCAATTTTGACATTTTGAGGATGGAAATAGATTGGGGGCCTAGCAAAAATTATGTTGAACATAAAGCAATATAAACAATTCTCTGTACTATATGTGTGAACTATTAAAAAATGGTTTCTGGATTAGTGGAGTTGTACATATATAGCACTTGATTATGCATTTGAAAATCAAAGAGTCATTAGAGCAAGATCAGAAGATGGAGAATGTGAGATATTGTTTGGAGATGAGTGGGATCAAGGAAGCATGATGGCAAAAATCCAACTCAACTCTGGTGTATTGCTTACAATTGGATGTTTGAATTTTTGTCCTCTCATCCACACATTTACATCCATAAGAATTAGGTGAAGTTTGATAGTATAATTAGGTGAAGTTTGATAGCATATATATATATATATATATATTTCCATTTTTACACCTATTAGATATGTGCTGAAATGCTTAAGTTATCAGAAATAGATTGTCTAACTAAGGAGGTCTATATATTAAAGAAAGAAGGTGAAATGCCACTACTTTTCAATCTTTTCGTTGGCTACTTCTCACTTTCTACTAGTCAAAATTGCAACCTCCCACCTTGTCCCCAAGTCCCTCTTAGTATACAATAGGTCTTGAAAGGTAAATAAATAAACAAGTAGTGCAAGTATGTGTGCAAGGAATGTTACAATGCATTGAAGGATGTGTTCACTGCTGAGATTTTAAGTCTTTGTAAGAGTAGCCCAACTTGAACACCGCACCACCAATAAGCGTTTGATTTTTATTCTAGCTTGCATTGACTTCTCCACCGTCTAAGCTAAAAATAGTTTTAGGAATCTACTAAAGTTATTCGTTTTCATAAGTGAAACACAGCTAGGACCAGCTAGCTAGTTCTACCACTCGATTGCAACACCTATGGAAAAAAAACATGAAAAAAATTGGTTTGTAAAAAAGCCAAGTCACTCTGCCAATCCAGCTTGTCATCACATCATCATATTCGTGTTAGCCGTTTTAAATGTTTCCAATTACAGATTAAGTTTCATCGAATAAAACAAATCTCCTTACTATTGCCCGATTACTTGATGCTACAGTTGATTACCAGGGAAGAATTGGAATGACATCAGCAATCTCCTTGCAAGTTAAAGTACTGATCGCGTGATTGTACAAATACATAACGGACTTCTTGGTGCCTGATGAATGCTATGTACAAAAGGCTACTAAATGATTACTAGAACAACCGTTGACAGATGATAAAATCACATCTAATCAAATCAAAGTTTGATTGTTGTCACGAAAGCATTGTTGACTGCAATGTACTGAGAGCTAGCGTCAAAATGACTTAATAAAAAAATCAATTTAAAAAATGAAATGAGAGAGGAAAGAGGAGCTTTGGTAAAAATAATCATGCGTTTGCCATAAAAACATGAGCCCACACAGTAATCAAATAAACATGGGCTCTATCAAAATAATGCTTAACTTAAACATTCGCATTTGAAAAGCATTACAAGGTTATGCTTACATTGATGTCATCGTTCGTGGGTCGCCTAGAAAATCCGTACTTTGAAATCTGATACTACTGTCGTAGCTACTATCATAAGCTAAGACTCGGAGTTACAAAAAGGAAATTCCACCACGAGCCATGTATCTAATTCTGGTTCAAATAAATGATTTGCAGTGACAATCATGAATATTGGCCAAGTCTAGCTGTCCAGATATTAGCACTAATGTTTCAAGGTCATGAGGCTTCCAGTGTTGAGTAAGGATTCTTCTAACAGAAGATGTGGCTGCCGTTCATCCCTAGACAGCAGCCTTGCTCTACTGGTTAATAATAAACATTCTTGTCAACATGCAACAAATTATCAACAATTCTTGGGCCTGTCATAAGTTGGAGGCAACGAAGGGCATCGTTCATTCATATGAGCATAGGGCTCAATAGTGTTGTAATCAGGAATCTCCATTTCATACTCCCCTAAAATTTGACAAAATGAACCCTTTCCCTCAGTGGCATTGCACCAGCTTGGCAATCGAGAGACATCGTCTTCAAAAAGCTTCAGCATGTATGCGTCCCTGATCTGCAATAATTCCATATATTTAGAAAGCCATGTCATATCCTCCACCGATAAAAAGATCATAAACAAAATTTGCTGCATGTTCCAACAAAGTACCCTCAATCTCCAGAAGAATTCCACTTGGCAAGTCATACATCATTTTCATACAAACAAGGCGAATTTCGGTATGCAACGAAGCTGTTATGTAATCATGAGCTATCAGCATTTGAAACATTGTCAGGCAAACGTGTAAGCAACCTAAAATCCAAAACACTTATCCATACCGTAAACTCAGTGACTTGGATGGAATCTCCAAAAGACCCAAAAAGTCCGGCTTCTTTGTACATCTGAAGAATGAAGGCTACACACGTGGTGGAAAAACCATCGCTGTATTCCCAGGTGTCTTGCTCTGGGATAGCTAGGAGCTCCTCAAATGAAATGCCCCGCTTCTCGCTCTCCACCATTACCCCAGGCAGATCCAACCCCTGCTCCAAAATCCAACACTTCATTGGATAGGTGTCGAACAAAACAATGACAGAATGAACAGAGCAAAACGTTTCCAAACGATAAGGAGAAACATGCTCAAGAACAAGCGTGTACCTCTGTACCCAGGCGTTTATTCAAAGCTTCATTCCACATATTTGCAGCAAAATCAGGTTGTAACCGAGTCCACATTGTTATCGCAGATGCCACCTGTCACCAACACCAGCTTAGTATTTAGCATATACAAGATGTACAGGACGACCATTGAGTCCACGGTTCATGTCATATCTCAAGTGGAGACCTGACAAATTTAAAATACTACTGTCAATAATGTAAAAAAATTACCAAGTTGGAGTCGAGAGGAGGGGGATAATTATCGGTCGGAGTATCAATCCAGCTAAATATCATGTTATGATAGCCATAAGGTGCCCCACTCATTCGACGAGCATATTCCCATGCGGCCGTTACGTTAAACTTGGCACGCACATCTGGATGCAATGGCAAAACCGCTAAATGACAATTCGCAACATCTGCGATTTGAAATTCCCACCATTCTTCCCATGGCATTATCACAATGACCTCTTCGCCCTGGACAAGAAAGAAACAAAAACCACGAATTTAATTATCAATTTTTTTTTGTAGATGTTGCAAAACACAAGGACTCAAGACATATATGTTGCTGCCGGCGACCGCAAAGAAAAGAGACATAACTAACCGCTTCATTTTCATGCCCGGATTCTCCTACCCAGAGCTTGTCATCTTCATCACGCAGACAGACCGCAGTATGCCCTGCCTGTGCGCCTGTCACCCATTTCTCAAGAGTCTCAAATGCACCCCAGCGGCCCTTAATCTTCGACATCGCTAGAAAATCACCGGACTTAAGATCAGCGGCAGTGATATTTGTCACTCGTGGCTGCTGGCGCTTGATGAACTGAGTTCCCATGTGAGATTCCAGGAAAGCTATATTAGAGTTTTGTCCCCAGCCTGTGTTCGAGAATAGCGGTAACACGTCCCACAACGCAAGCAAGGTTCCCAGCATGCCGGCAGGCATTAAAAACACTGAAAAGCCCTTGTTCTGGACCTGTATCCAATGGTAAACAAACCGATGAGAACATGCAAGCGTAGGAGTGCAACCCGAGGGCCAGTGAAGAAGAAAAAAAATAGGTCAATTTTCGTTCTGACAAACAACGAGATGCATGATTAGCAGAGGCCCATCAAACTTACATAGTTAAGTTCCCCTTCATTCCATTCATCAATGTACAGAGTGTGATTGCGAGCAGTAAAGTAGTAATCCCAAGTCACACGGTATGGAGTTGCAAATACGTAAAGATCTAAGCAGGTCCAGCTGTGTGCGCTACTTGTCTGCACACATGAAACGGAAGTAAAATCATCACTGAATTGTAATTATGACATGAAAGACGACGCTTGCATAAAATTGTCAAGGTTAAAGCTATGAGTAACACATAAACACAAAATAGTGACATTCCCAATTGATATCTTGTGAAGAAACCAATCACTAACTTCTAAACAGAGAAAATTAGGCTCCAAGGCAGAGCCAGCAGGAACCCTGAATAGTTTTTGAAACAGAAAACAAACGCCCTGTTATCGAGTACTCATACTTGTTTGACAATCAGTACAAGCCCAACACCAGACCACGCAGACTAGGTATGTACATACTCGAATATGAAGAATGCCACCACCATTATGACCTTCTTTTTTTGGCTCAGTGTACTCCATGTAAGCTTCATTCTGGAAAAAGCAAGTGCCGTTCCATACAACTGTGTCGTTTCGGGAAGAAACCGCGCCAACGAACTGCGGCAGAAGATCAACTGCATTGTTAAGGTTTTTAAGCACCGGCAGAGCAATTGACCCGGGCAACAGTGGCAGGAGGTCTTCGGGGTGGAAAGGGAGGAGGGGCAGGTCGTAAGCGTCTGCACCACTGCCGATCGCAATCCATACCAAACAAAATACCAAAAGCAAAGTAGCTGAAGGACGATCCATAGCTTCTATAGTTGTAAATTTTTTCTTCCCTGAACACGAACTATCTTTATGGTTCTCTTCAACAAATTGGAACAGAACTTCGTCCCAATTTTCTACACCATGCCTTGGTTAAAATTAAGAGGCTTGATCATTCTCAATGTTCTCACACTGTGCAAACACCGGAAGACCGATGCAAGAGAATTTCCACTTCCCAACTGTGTCGGCAACAGCCTCAGAATTGCCCATAAAACTCTTTTACTCTGTTGGTAAAACAGAAAATCAGCGACAACAAACTTTAGACCAACAATGCGTCCTTATGAGGACGATACGACTCAATGCGTTGCAATTCACAACTGCAGAAAGAAAACCCCCGCAAGTAAAAGAGGAAGAAAAACACGCAAATCAAGAACTCACTTCTGCAACTAGACTTTCGTTCGCCAAATTCCCCTCTTCTGAGTTCCCACAAATTGGCAACTCGAGCACTTCTCAGAGTCAAAAGCTCAAATTCCACTTATACCACCCAGAGAAGCCCCATGAAGCACCAACTTCAAACACTCGTGTCAACATTCCAAAACCCCATCTACACGCAAGTAGACATGAAGAAGCTTCAGCATTTACAAGGCTCTACATACACAAAGCCAAATTCCGCCAAACCCATCACCAGGTTCCAGCCTTTCTGCGATGAAGTACACAAGGACATGCCAACGCTTGCCTGTGATCCCAGGCACGCATCCAAACTAAAGCAAAGTCCCTCTCCTACTCAAGATTCTTGGAACAACACGGAACCCTAACATCAGATCATCTGGGTGGCCAACACAAGGCGGTGAAGGTAACTTCCTCCCCACGGGAACCGACACCGTCGCTCAATGTAGATTTGATCGTTTTCGGAAGGAAATTAATATTCCTTTGAAGATAATATCCGTTGGATTGCGAATTCTCGGCGTGGAGAAGGTCCAGACTGAGTGCCAGCAACCTTAAACTACGTGTCCTCCACTCAGAGCACCTCCCAGTCGGCGAATTAGAAGGCTTAATTTTGAAACTATTTGAGTCCTTTATATCCCGTCGTTTAAATCATGTTGTTACTTTCTTCCCCCCAAAATAACCCATGTTCAAAGGTATAAAATTCTGAATTATCTTCGGTTCAGCAATACCAGGTGTAAGGTAAACCACGGAACACGACACTTCAAAGTATTTGCTTTTCTTGATTTACATTATTTTTGCCACATGGGTCAATATAAGATTGTGGGCAACCGTCGGACATCGATTGTCCAGGAGAATTTGATCACATGGCCAGCTTCAAGTGATGAGAACCTGAGAATTTATAGTATCTCTTTGACTGAGTTCAGAAATCAGACATTGAACGCCGCGGGGAACTGAACGCGGTCAGGAACGAAACGTGATCGTTGCTTGACAAAGTTTTCCACGAGGGGGCTTCTTCGATCTGCCGCGGACTTTATCATCCATTTGTAACATGATTTGTTGATTTTGACCGATTGTCTAAGAAATTTATGAGGAACAGAACGAACGATGTTGGATGATATCAGTATTCATGCAGCGTCGTCGTCGTCGGCTTCTGGGAAAAAAGAGTCTAGGTCTGCGGGGATATTCTTCGTGTCCGATGTTCCATCGGCACATTCCCAGGGTCCGATTTCGTGCCTGCTCTGACGTTGCTTTTTCATGCTTCAGTTCTTCATAATGCGCTGTAACCACGCGAGTTTTTCGTGTCAAAGCCTCCTGCTCCATGGTGTTGTGTGACTTGCAAAACTTGTTCTGATTAGGTCTGGTCTCTGCTTCCGTGAGTTGGTGCTTGATTCTGAGGTTCCATCGTTTCATGCAGTTTCAGGAATCGGTGTCTTTTCCAAATCGGTTCTGGTCGATGTTTTTGGCTCCTTTGCGCAAGTGTCCAGGCCCCGTGTTTCCGGAGAGTTTTCTAATGTAAAACGATTGTTACAACTGAGTTCACTCGCTGTGCCTGCTGTTCGTGCTTGACGGAGTCTGTGAGCTGCAAATTGTTATTTCTGGCTCGTTTATACTTCCAAAATTGATGGCTGAGAGTAGAAACCTTGGTGACGACTTAGTAGCTGCTAGATCTGTCTCAAATTGAGTTTTCACGAGAGAATATTTTTGGTTGTTGGGATCGTGTTCTTTAGTCTGTTGCTCCACCTGTTCTCAATCTGTCGTAGTACAAATGACCTCGGCAAATTAACGCTCGGATTCCGATCTGTTTGACGTCACCACGTTTGTTACGTTCGATGCAACAGTATTTGGAATGGCTTGGCATTTGCAATAAGGTTTATCATACGCCACATACAGATTCTCCCTGCGCTTTCGTTATTACGTGGTAGGGTTTTGAGTGTGTGGAAACTTGGCAATTGTCACGAGCAAAGCAGGAGAGGACATCATGGTTTGCTGGTACGGAACATCGCATTCATCGAGTGCACATCTCCTGCTGTTTAAGGGTCGGAAGTCTGTTGAGATCCCACCTCAACCAAGAATCAGCAGCAGACCAGCATTCAAGAGTTTCCCGATTCCTGACATCTGCATTTTCGAGTAGGAAAACCCTCTTGGTGGCTTGTAAACGGACGGCAAGAAATTGGTAAGTTTGTACACGCATCTCATTGTCATTCTTTTGTCGATTTTTTAAAAATTTAAAAATTTAATTTTTTTGGAAACTTTAAGTCTTATTGGTTTGAAGTCCTTTATTGGATAATATTTAAAAAAATTAAACGAACCCGTTTGTTGAGAAGACTCGCGAATCACTATTATTTTGTTAGCAACAGTCACAACGTTGTCGAGGAATGTCAATTTTTAGCCCTTACGTTGTTGCTTTTGCCACTAAGCACGAGCTTCGAGAAATGAGCCCAAGGATCTGAAGGTTTTTGCATTAGTTAGAGTAATGTACCCTTCCCATATAAATTAGCGCACCTTATTGATGTTTCATGGTAGACATTCGACTTGTATCCTATCATCATCTCCTTCACAGCATGAAAACTTGAGTAAATTGTTGGACTTGGTCAGCGAGGTCCTGTCGTGTCATTATTATCACAACAGCTCTTTGTTGTGACAGACCTAATTTCTAAGTTTTAATGTTCAGGGGATTGAAGGGTCAGGATGTACATGAGCTCTATCGTCACTAGAATGTTTATCCTGAATTATTGGAAAGCTACATGTTCGTCTCTCCAGAAAGACCAGAGGTGTTGTAGATTTAGTGTTTGATTGTTTGACAGGAAATTTTTGAGTTACATGCCGTGACGCTGATGATTATTTAATTTCATTGCCATGATATGGTTGCTGAGCAGGTTCGTTAGCATTGAGTGAGTGAAATATCTCATGTGTACTACAACAGATCCAAGAAGGGTTACGTATCTTCTATTCTAGTGAAATGGGAACCTTTGGATCCCCTCATTATTCTCTTAGCTTCTTCATCGATTTCCATCCCCAACTGCCAGCGTCTAATGATGGGATTCGTCCAGAAGCAATATCTTTGGTGGATGCTTGGAAGGGTCTTGGACTTACATATTTTCTGCTCAAAGGACTGAAAAAGACAAGCAAGACCTTCAAGCTGATGAACGGTTCTGATGAAGGAAACTCAAAGAAGTATAATCCGGGTGCGAACACGGGTGATCGTATCTCTAGTCGTTGCCTCACATTGAAGAACCCAGGTAGTGCTCGTCCTCCACCAAGAAAATGCAATGCTGACTATGGTTTAGGAAAGATATCTCGAAATAAAGGCAAAGTGACAAATCATACAAAAGCTTGCAAAAGCGATGCTGTCGGAGTTCATAGAGAACAATTAAGCACTCTTGCGGATGCTGTAGAAGAATTCTCAGAAAGTGGTCTGCGCGAGGCTACAACCAGGTCCGCTGCAGAGCTGAAGTTCTTAACCGGGAAGTCCATCAGAGGAATCGGTTTAGGTGTTGAAGGTGTGATGACCACCATAACGGGGCTATCGCAACAAGTACAGTACAAAAATGAGATGAAAGAAATTATTACTGTGGTCAAAACAGCCGATCGAGTACTGCAGGGTGTGAAAGCAGCCAATGGAGTCCTTCAGACTTTTAGTTCTCCACTGGATAACTTGCTCGCCCTTGGAGCAGGAGGGAATGGAGTGATTCTTGGGATGAATACAGTCAAAATTGTTCTGAAAGGGGTGAAAATCTCTAAAGGTCTCACTACAGTAACGAAGCTGTGCAACAACAAGCAGACTGGGGCGATTGGGGTAGGTGCGGAAATGGTCATTAAGGCTGATCAGAATATACTTGGGCAGCGTTTTAAGGTGATTATGAAGGGCTTGAAAGCTTCAGAAGGGGCTGCCAATGTAGTTAGCATCTCCAAAGAAGTTGGCAAAACTCTAGGTATGTTAGACAAGGCAGAACTATTATCCTGGAATTTAATCATGAAAGGGTTTAAGTTCACCAAGAGTGCGATCCGAGCCTTGGAACCAGTTGGGTGCTTTCATTGGGGCATGATGAGTGCCCTAGGGAAGGGTATACTCGAAATGAAGGCAGCTGTGGAAGGCGTTGGTGTCGTTGTGAAAGCTGTGGTTCTCTCTCAGGAGCTCTACATGGTAATACTAAAAGGTGTTGGATTTACAAAAGGTGCTATGACAGCCTTCAACGAGTGCAAGCGGAGGTCATTGCTTGGCAAACGTTTTTCGAAACAACCACCTGAAGTGAGTAACAGCGGTTCGGAGGAGGGTTATTCTCAAAGGAGCGAGGTTAGCTTCAAGAGTTTGCGTTGTGGTCAGCTGGCTATGTCTTCCGTAAATTGGTCTTCAATAGAGCCCCAGAGGAAATATTTTATGAGCAACGACCTGGAGCTTTTAGGGCATTTCTGCTGTGCTAAGGATGTTTCTTTGTACATGACACCTGAGTCATTACAGGATGCCGACGGTACACATTTTCTCCTGCCGACCATTTTGACACTTGCCAGTTGTTTCGACCTCGAACCATAATTGGATTTTTCTTCTCTACCAGGCTCTTCTCTACGTTCCGAATGGTAGTATGTTAATTATACTCATCCCGTAGCGGAACCTCGTGAGAAAATTCTTAGAAGTGCTTGTGCAAGGTGAGAACATTTTTTCGATAGACCCTTGCTCATGACTTATTGTGGACTTAGGGCTTTCATAGCCAGAACTGTATATACTCAAGAAGTAAAAACCATTCTTTCTCTCACAAGTGAGTCAATACAACAATATTGACGTAACATGTTGAACACAGGAGTTATTCTACTGCATTGAACATATCTTTCTGCAGTTGATCTATATTCAATTCAGTGTGATATGGAATGAACCGCTGCTTTGGAGACCTAAAAAATGTTGGACAACGTACACACTAGGTCCTAGAGTTACATCAGTTGTAACAAATGTCATTCCTTTGGCCACACTCCAACATGTATACAATTACGCTCCACAGCTACACAAAACAAACTTGTCCGCGTTCCATGCTTCTGTGTCAGCTTACACAGTATCAAAGCTAGATCTGGAATGTTTGTACATGAACAATCATAGTGCTTAGCAGGAAGATCTGAATATTGTGGTGGCCTTCTTTTAATCAGCAAATTAGAGAAAAGAAGTGAACATGCACTCAATGCAATCAATAGCAGCATACAAGGAGGTATCGTAATGAAGCATTTTAAAAGATAGTTAGATTTGAACAATTATTGGATACCACTCAAACTTTATTATGAATGTGACGGTAATCTACAAAATAATAACCATTATTTTTATTATTATTATTTTGATATATTTTAATTATATACATAAATATTTTTTGATATGAAAAAACCAATAGACTTTATTGAAGAGATAAGTGTTTAGTTACTAGAAGATGTTATTGTTTATTAAGTATTGAGAAATATACTAAAAGAGTTTAACACAAACAAGTAAGTCATTTTTAGTAAAACAAAAGTTCCAACTTCCATAAAATTAAAAGCACAAATATTGAAGAAATAAAATATATAAATAAATAACATTAACAAAAAGTAATAATAATATAATTCTTTAATATAAAAATAATACAAGGTAATTCTATAACTAATTATAAACTCTATTTAATAAGTCAAACTTTAATTATTGTTTTTAAAATTAATAATAAGAATTACACTACTATCAAAAATATCACCTTTTCACAATTAAACAATTGGTATGAAATCATGCACAGACAATTTATAAACAAGATTATATAAAGACAAAAATTTCATGAAAATATTTACTAAAGATCTAATTTGAACCACCACCAAATTTACTATTAGAATTAAATAAAATGAAAAAAAATCCAAAAATGAGTTTAAGTCTCAATCTTTTTGCATATAAAACAAAGAATTAATCATATTTTAATTAACTAGTCGTCAATTTTTTTTTTTTAAATCAGTAATTTGAATCTCATTAATAAACACGTGTGTAATAATATTCAATAAGGTGATTAAAATTAACAATGCTTGTAATATCTCAATTTCACACTATTTAATTTTCTAAAAAAATAATCAATTTGTGCTTTCAAACTTTATATTTTATTATAGCATTATTATGTAAATTTTCAATATGATTATATATATATATATATATATATATATATATATAAACTAAAGATTGTATGGTCAATAGTTGTTACTACAGAGTACTTGTCTCAACCTTATAAACATATCTATGACTTTAAGATTATAATCAAACTTATTTCTTTTCTTGTAAGATGAGTAATATTGATCTATCACAATATATTGTGTATTATTTCACTATTTTTTGTTTTAATTTAGAACTAAATTAAAACAAATTATTACTGTAATTTTTATTTTTACATCTTTTTATCTTTATTTTTTAAAATTTCTTCTTTGAAATCTGAGAATTCTAAGTTATATGTAGAATATTATCACTTAAGACTCTAAAATTATTAATTTTGAGTATTTATATTTTTTAATTTAATTACTTAAAATTTAAATTAAATTTAAATTCTAAGATATAATACTTCATAAAATAAAATATATTCTCTCTTTTACTAATAAATCATTTTTATTTCTTATCTAATTTGATTTGAGTAAATTGAGTAGAATCATTTAGTCTTGTCAATTAATAATAAAAAATTCATAATAAATAATATAAAGAAACAACTTGATAGATCAATCTAGTTGTAATCTACCAAACTTTATAAAGATCCATATTATATTCTATGTGTCCCTTCTTAAGCCATATAAGATTGTGGATATATTGGAAAGAAGATATATGTTATTTTCTCCTATAGAAGTGGACAACAATTAAAAATTCTAGATAGAAGAGATCTTAAACTCAAGGCATTGCCAAAATATAATGGAATATCTTGTACATTGGCATAGATATGATATTAATGAATGCACATATGATTCATTTAGAAATCTTGTAAATGCAATAGAGAAGCTTAATACTTTTTATTGATTGCATCTATTAAAACAAAGACAAAGAGTCAATCAATTCTTTGCTATAAAACAAGTACATTGTAATAAAGATTGCATTCTATCTCCTCTCATTGTTTGTAATTTTTGTATATTTGTGGCATTAAAAAAATAAAAAATCAAGAACTAATAGATTTAATTAGAGAACTATTATTTTCTAAGTTATTAGATAAACCATTGAAATTATCACTATAATAAAAATGGTGTGATAAAAATGAAGACCCTTAAAAAAGACATGTTTGATAATACAACTTTCAAAGAAATTCTTGATGTTTAGTAATACCATTACTTGTATAAACCACTCTTAAGTGGTGTTTCAAATATTTTAGTTGAAAGAAGTTATAAAGGCCTCAATTATAATCAAATAATAGGATGGTCTTCTTGCCTTTATATGAAATACTATTGATGGTTGAAAAGACTAGTTAAGCACTTCTAAAGGAAACAAAGATCAAAGTATGTAGCAAATTATCAACAATATGGATAATATCTTTAAAAAATAATAAATGACCATCTATAATTTTTACATGTATATGTTTATTTTTCTTGACTAAAAATATAAAATATTTTTTAATAAAGTCTTTATCTATAAAACAAACTAATAAATTAAGATTCTTGAATCTAATAAGGCAAAGGCTTTGTAATTTTTTGATTGTGATCAAATATCTATTGTAAAGCAAGATAAAGGATTTGAAGAAAAAATATTACCTTTATTAGATATTACACAAGATTCCAATTGCATGGTCGTTACTATAATTGGACAAATTTGTTTTCTAATACATTTTGTTCTTTAGCAACCATGTTGTTTATTTTGTAATTGTAATTTTCAAAAATAAATCTTTGATATTACCTTTTAATATATATGAAAATTGGTCAATGAAAGCTTTATTATTTCAATCCATGTTACAAGCAAGGTTTTAGAATTTAGTAACATATATAGTAATTGAATGTGATTCTTATCATAAAGATAGGAATTTAGCCTTTACTATCTTTTTTCAACTATTTTTTCTAGATATAGCCATAAATGCTTTCAATAATAAATTTAAATCATAAAAGAATTATAATAATTTTCTAATAAAAGCATTAATTGAGAAAAATACTTCAAAATAGAAGTATTTTTATGAATCCAACTTGAATAAATCCATTAAGGTATTGGAAAAGATACAATCTTAAATAAACCTTGGTTTATTTTAAAAATCCTCAAAATTTTGATCTTATTCTATCAAACTTCTCCGACATACTTATCTTTATTTTTCTTATGCTTATAGTAGCAAAACTTCTTTGATTCAATTATAAGCTTGATCTACTTTCTTTTTTATTTAAATTTTTTTTTAATGTTGTCGTGTTATAACATGACTATATGGTGAAAGATGATAATATGGATCTTATTATAGAAGAGCCAAGTTAAAAGATAAAATTAAAAAATATGGATAAAAGATAGGAAGGTTGTAAAACTTTAATAGTAATGTTGTCTTTTTAGAAAAGTGACTTCTACTTACTTTGTAGGACTATAAATAAGGAAAAATAAAGTAGATTGAAAAATTAAATTATATAAATATTTTTAGGAGGAAGTTAAGAGTAAATTCTAGCAAAAATTATCTAGAAAAACTAGATATTGATACTTGAAAAGGACTGGTTATGAACCAAGGTCAAAATCAGACCTTGAACCACAAAATTGAGCTTCGATGATGATTTGGAGGTTCTTTTGGAGATTGGAGAGTAGGATTTGAAACGAGACTTAATAGATTTTCTTCGAGCATTGATTTTGGGTGATTTATATTGACTTTGTAAGAGCTTTGCAAAATCAAGGTTTTTTTTCACAAAGTGGGTGATACATGTTTGTAGGTATATATGTGTTCAATATATGCTATGAGTTTGAGTTTGATCGAAAGGTTGGATCAAGGGTAATTGAGGTTTAAATAGGTTGGGGTTTTATAAAAAAGAGTTTAAGGTCTAGTAAAGGTTTCTAAGATTTTTTGCAATCTATCAATTAGATTGGAGTAAAAGTTATGTATGTGGGTAGTAGACTTGTTTCCTTACATATGTAAGAAATTTGAAATCAATGAAACAGTTCAATAAGGAGATATTGGCACTAGAAATTCAACATTCAGATTGGAGAAGGAAGCCGACCAACATCCAAGCAAATATTAGGGTTGATCTTCTTGTTGATGAGTTCGATCTTCTTCAAAATTTTTGTGCTTGTTGTCAATTTAATTATTAAGAGGTGTGCAAAATTTGACTTAAAATCAATAGTTCATTCATTAGTTTTTGAGGCTTAAATCTGCTATAGGAATTACTAGGATTTATTTAGGATTTGATTAGGATATGTTTAGGATTTGATTAGAGTTTATTTAGGATTTATTTAGGATTTGTTTAGGATTTGATTAAAATTTGATTAGGATTTTTTTAGGATTTGACTAAGGTTTATTTAAGATTTGATTAGGATTTGTTTTGGATTTGTTTGGAATTTAGTTAGGATTTGACTAGAATTTGATTAGATTTTGACTAAGATTTAATTAAGGATTCTATTTTAATATTTTATTAAGGTTTCTATTTTAGTATATTTTTAAATTTCTATGTTATTTCTTTTTGATTCTTTAAAGGATTTTTAGGAATATTTTGTGCTTCTTATATAATTCTTTTGAAATTTTGATTGAATTTGATTGATGTTTGATTATATTTGTTAATCTTTAATTATAATTTGTTTAAAAATCTATTAGAATTTTTAGGACTTGTTGTTGCAATTTTTCTTTTATCTTCCATAGCTAGGTGCCCGGTGCATTCTCAAGCCAAAC